TTTTGCAAGGATTCATAAACCATTAAAAATCACAGCTGTAGCAGAAACTCACGGCCTACCTGTTCTTAATCTGATCTCATTTTACATGTTTATATTGGTCTATAAAATGTTTAGTGCTCATAAATCCTGAACTATGCGCCTGACCGCAGGAGTTACTTGGGCAAAAGACGTATTGCTGTCTTACGCTAAGAGGCCAAGAAATGGGTCCCTGTTGTTTTTTAAGGGTCATCTTTTCTTTAGCTGTCGTGTGCCCAAGAACAGTTACATGCTGATGAAAAAAACTGCTAGCTTTCAACCACGTTTTCAGAGTACAGCTGAGTTGGGTGAATTCCTCTGAAGTGATTAACAGAAGGATCTTATTTTTCTCTGTGTAGGAGTAATTACTTTGCCAGGCATTCAATAATGTTGTCTTGACAAAAATCATGTTTACAGTTTGATGAGCTTTCATTGTTGCTGTAAGATTAAAGAAGTCAACGCTTCTTTGTATGAAGATGTCTCTGCGCTCAGCATTTTATTTTCATTTGTAGTGAGACATATCCCCACAGGTAAAGGCATCTCCTCTGTTGCCAGAGGAGGGAACAGGGATGGGGAAAAAGAAGATAAGACCCCCTCCTAGGATTACAGGCTTCCAGTGTCTCATGGATATCAAAACCATTTCATACCCTCCTTGGGGGCAAAAGCCCCTAGCATTTCTCAGAGAGCTGTCAAAATCTTCAGCTCCACAACTCTCATGTTGTTGCTCGTCAGTGTAAAACTCTGCTGCACTTCAAACCTTTGAAATAGGGGCAAGAATAAACCAAACTGAATCCAGTATTAACAGCTGGTACAGAAAACAGCCAATGTTGCACAGATTAGTCTGGCATGGGAAGATAATGAACAGGGAAGTGCTCAATGCTGAAATACCACTGCATCGCCCTGGTATCCCAGCCCTTTAGAGCTGTATTTAGTGGGATGCCCCACTTAGAGTCACATGGCTCCAGGAAGGTGGTAGAGCAGAAAATACGTGTGTATTTTGTGTAGGGCTCAGCATGTCAGTTGGCATTCAGCTTTGAACAACCCATCTAAAAGAGCCAGCTGCTCCCAGTGACAGCTCTACAGAGGCTCAAGCACCCCATTCAGGCCACGTACGTGCCCCACTAACCTTAGGTCAACGTATTTTGTATGTAATTAGGAGGCAGGGGCAGAAGTAATATTTTCATATGAACCCTGGTGGAATCTTCGGTAGAGTCAGTCCGAAGCAGGGCTGCAGTGAATTGGAGAATGTCTCTGTGGCTGGGGTGGATTTTTCAGATAAGGCTTTTAAAATGCAAAATTCCAGCAGCTCCCTGGAGATCTCCCCAAGAAACCCTTAGTGGATTGAGACTTGAAAACCCTCTGCACTCTTACCTCGGCAGCTGCCAAAAGGCGGCTAGGGAGTGCTAGCTGGTAAGGGCAACGGTTCCCTTCCCTACGCCAGGATGAGCAGCTCTGGCCGGTTGTCAGCTGGTCTGGGCGAATGAGCAAAGTTGTCTCTCTGATTTCAGAAGACCTGACTGCACTACGAGTTGAGGTTAATATTCAAATTCCATGAAAATAACCTAAAATTACTTTCGTGGGAAAGAAAAGGAGACTAGTTTACTGGATTGGGGGGAGAGAAAGGGAACATGGAATCAGGTAAAAGAAAAGGGAATTTTTTAGGCTATGAAGACACCTGCAGTTTTGCAGTTTGATTGTAGTAAGTTAAGAACAGAAGGAGCAGTAAGGGAATAAAGGACAGGAGAGCCGAATTTCCTTTTGACAGAAGGCTAAATGAAAAAAGAAGGTTCTAACGTGAGATTTGTAGGAAGAAATTAGTCAATGCAGCCTTGGAAATTAAACACGGAAAGAATGGAAAGTGGATGAATGGAAAACACTTTTGTAATAGAATGTGAATAATAAGTTCTTGCAATTGATGCCACAGCTAATACCAAAGTAGGGGAAACAGGATGTTTTAGTGCTTTCTGCTTCTTGCAAAACTTTTATAATTCAAAAATCTGTTCTGTCTTTTTTAAAGCAGAAATGCAAGTGTAAAATAAACTGTTCGGCATTTCAGAAATATTTGTGAAGTATGTGAAGCACATAGTGAGGGCCCAGTCTAGATTTGCTTACAACTCAAACCCACCCAAAGTCAGTGGAAGTTTTGAACACCTCAAGCTGTACGTAGTGATTGACCATAATGTAATGATTGAATGTCAGCATTTGGTATCGTTGAATGGATGCTTCCCACAAATTCAGACTGTGTTTTGTCTCCATTCTTGTTTCCTGTCAGAGAGACAAGTAGTATGAGATTATCTGGTGCCTCTTTGGGGAAATGGGGCTAGGGGTCTTGGCAAATCAAGGTCCATTCATCTGGTTTACCCCCCTGCCACATGGTTTGGTACCCAGAAATTATTTGTACTCATTGAGTTTCTCTAATTGCTTTCAGAGCTAGGGTACGTTTGTTTAGCTAAAATTTATCTGTCCTCAGCAATTATTCTGTTTGGTGCAGAATTCTCTTCTGTTTTAGATTTCCAGGGAACGAAAGAAAATATATGTTAAGTCTCAGTTCCTTTGGTTAGGAAATTACCCTAAGTATATAGTAAGTTTAAACTGTCTGAATGGGGGGGGGGACTTTTCCTTGATACCGAAGAATGCTTTCCCTTGTAATCTAACAACTAGAAATTGAATTAATGTGTGTGTAATTTTAGATCCTAAATCAAATACCGACCCAAAACCCGTTTCTGAGAGTCCTTTCATTATCTGAAAATAAGAGGCAGAAAAAGAGCTGTCATAAACAAGTAATTATTTTAATTTTCATGCCACACTTCTTGGCCTGATAGTAAATCCTCTAGTTATAGCCTGTCCTTTCACTTATCTGGTTTAAAAATATAAATATATAAAAATCAACTTAGGGCAATCGCACTTGCAAAAGGGTCGTCAGGAAAACTGGTATGTTCATGCCGAAGTAACTAGAGCCGCTCCCTGCGGCACGGCTCAGACGAGACCTAGAGAGAGCACAGAAATTGCCGACGAAACACGTGAGGGACGCCACGCCGCAGGCCAGCCCGCGTTCAGCACCGATTTTCACCTCGCCGATGCCGGCCGGTGTCACCCGGTTTTCT